TTGTTAACAGCTGTCTCTCTTTCTCTCTGTATCTTTAAAATAATATTACAAAATATCTTAGCTGTTTCAAAGAATTCATTAATTATATATTGGTTCTGTGCTGTGCCGTAGAGCACCACAAGTTATTCCTATCTGTAGCTGTGTAATTTTGAACCTATTGCCAATGTCTCCCCTGTTCCTAGATAGGTCTTCCCACTGAAGCACCCTGTTTTTATTCTCTATTCCCATGTGTAAGTAAGGCTACAGGTATTTGTGTCTCTGTGCCTGGCTTATTTCACTTGCTGTATTGCCGTCTAGATCATCTGTGTTGTTGCAAATGGCAGCTTCTGTTTTTGTGGGTATACACCATGTTTCGTTAGGCCCATCATCTGTTGTTGGAACTTGGGCTGTGCTGTGAGAACAGTTCTCAACAGTGGACATTTGCAGACACATCTTCCTGCATTATAGCTCATTTTTGTCATTTTCTGTCATGATGAAAGAAGCACCTGTTTTTGTGGCCAGACCAGTCCTTGCCCCCCTTTCCCTCCTACTCACACCTTAGTCTGGACCCTTTCCTGTCTGGCATTTTCTGGGACAGATTTCCTCTGGCACCTCTCAGATCTTCAGTTTCCCGCCCTCCACCCCACTTTTCATTTTTTTTTTTTCCTGTCAGCACTAAAGCATGCTTGAGTCTTGGGTGTTAAAATGAAACCCTCCATTTACCCAACATGCCCCTCTAACTGCCACCCAGTATTCTCTAGTTAATTACTAAAACCCTGAACGGGTAGTCTGGGTTCTATATTTCCATTTCCCATTGTAATTCAGCTTCCATCCCACCTTTCCACCAACACTACACTTGCTGGTATTATCCCTGATTTCTTTGTTGCTAAATCCAATAGATTCTTGGCAGTCTTTATCTTATCTGGCCTCTGCCATGTTTGATATTGTTGAACAATTCTTAAGTCTGTCCCCTTGGTTTCCATAACATCGCTTTTCCCTCTGTTGACATTTTAGTCTCTTGCCAACCCCCTTTCTTCTCTGATACTCTTGAGTGTTAGTGTGTCCTGGAGTTCCAAACCCCACTCTCTTCCCTTCCTCCTCCACTAACTTCCCAGGAATGACTTTATCCACTCCTAAGCCTTCCCTGATTACATGCATGTCCTTATGCTTCCTTCACAGTCTAGGTCTGTGTCTGCTTACTGCACATTTCTAAATTAACGATTCTTAGGATCCTCAGCCTCAAAATTGGGCTTTCATTTTCCTCACATCTTAACACCTTAGCAAAATGAATGAATGAATAAGTAAAATAGTCTCCTTGTGCTCAGCTTTTCTCAGTGAATTAGTATCCATCCATTTATTCCAGCAAGAAATATCTCCAGAGAGATTCATTATCCTTAGTGTTATAACTAGAAAGCCACAACTTTGTAGATCTAATTAATTTATTCTCAGAGTCTTGAGAAAACGTTATATGAAAGGCAGAGTTACAGAGAGCCATCATCCATCCACTTGTTCGCTTCACAAATGACGATAACAGCCAGAGCTGGGCCAATCCGAAGCTAGGAGCCAGGAGCTTCTCCCAGGTCTCCCAGCAAGGTACAGGGGCCCAAGGAATTGAATAATCTTCTGCTTTCCCAGGCGTTAATCAGGAAGCTGGATGGGAAGTGGGGGCAGCTGGGACACAAACCGGCACCCAGGTGGGGTTCCAACACATGCAAAGTGAGAACTTTTAGCTACTGAAATAACAACTTTGAGATAATTGGAAATCAGGCGCTGTTCTGAACACTGAGAGTAATACTTTATTTTTCCCCAAAATCGCATAAGAGGTAGGTGCTGTGACCATGTTCCTCCATTCTCACCACAGAGGAGGAAATGAAAATACAGAGAGGTTGAGGAGAGAAAGATGACCATTAGTAGGTGCTAAGCAGGCTTTGAACCCAAAAGGACAGTACTGCAGTACTGTCTGACAAATAGCTTATGTACCTCATAATAGGTTTCTTTCACTATTTTTAAAAAGTTAAAAATGCTTTGAATTACCAACACATGATGTAGTTTTAAATATGTGCCTTGAGTATACAAATGTGTTTTCTTCTGAGAATAAATCACAAAAAATGGAGTCATAATTTCTATTTCTATTTTAAAAAGCGATCTAGATTTTCTTTGACTCTTTCGAAGCATAAACAGTGGCCATAGCAACATCATCGCCTTGTGAGCTCTCTGCTTATTTTATGTCACATTCCGCAGCTTTATCCTTTTGTCTTAAAAATACTTGGCTTTCTACAATATCAACACAAATCATATTCTGTTGCTGTTTCTTAAAAGTGCTTGAGCAACTGGATAAAATTCATAGGAAATTAATGACTCATATATCGGAAAGCATTTACTAATGTGACTTTTGTCCCAGTTGCCAAGTAGTCTGAGTTTGTTTCCATGGTAACTCATAAGTATAGCAAAACTGTCATAAATTAACTCACTTTTTTCATGTTTAGTTTGCACAGTTTTCTCACAGGTGTATGTGTGTGTGTGTGTGTATGCACCTTAGAGTAACACAAAAAATTCTGAATTAATTGCTTTAAGCACATAAACACAGAAAGGAGCTAGAGAGTAGATGCATCGGCTTCACTGTCCTGTCCTCTCTCCTCCTAGTGTTTGAACTTGTAGCCCTTTGGGGGTAGAGAACAAGAGATGGATGGTGCTGTCCATAAAGCCTGGCTTCCTGGGCCAGGAAGGAGGGTGGAGTTGGTATAGAATGATATTCTGACTTCTGAGAGTGCTTTTTGGTTCCACGTATGTTCTTGTATGGTAGATGTCATTTCCATGTAGTTATTTTATCTCTCTCGGAATTATTTTCACCCTCCAGCACAGACTATTTCGTTGAAGTCTATTGCTGTATTCATCCTAGCCTCTGCCTTTGCTGTGAGGTCTCCTGAGGCATTAGCAGTTGAGGAGGAGCTTTGTATCTGCAGAGGGTGGTTGTCACCTCAGGTTTCTGTGGTAGGTTGAACTGGTAGAAATTTTTCATTGGGAATTACCAACATCCATCTCATCAGATCTTTTCTTTGAAACTGTCTGGATTCCCCCAGAGAACATTGTACTCACATGTTCATAAACATAATGCTGATTGTAGGAGAGGAAAAGGAGGCTGAAGACACAGCCTTCATCTTGCACTCCTCCCGTTGTTATGCCTTCGAGCTGTTGTTTTTAACCTGTGCCCTCAAATTGCACAGTCAGAAGTCCCTGTTTTCCTTGTCAGGATATTTCCTCAGTCCTCTGAACGAGTCGAGTCGTAGGGAAGAGCTGATTGCTATCAAGTTAATGGAGCAGTTTCCAGTCAGTCCCCCTGCATTTGTCCCCACTTTATTCTATTTCAAGAGCAATTTAGGATTGCTCCTCCCAGCTTTCAGCATTGCCAGTCTAAGATGTGGATTTCTTCAATAGGCTAAATCACTTTCCATTTTTCTGGTTCTGACCTCTTTTCTGTCTACTCTCTGGTTCTGTCTAATGAGATAATGACTTTTGTTTTCTTAATGTAATGAATTTTGGTCGGAGGCGGGGGACAGAGAACATTACATGTGATCAAACCTTGTCACCTTTAACTAGAATTTCTCATGTGATTTTATAAGAAACATAAAATAGCAATTTTTGAAGTGTTATTTTGGCTTTCTGATGGTATGTCAGGCGCTCTGGTGACAGAAACAGTCAGTGCCTTGAGGCTCAGAATATATCTCAAGTACATCTGCATTACATGGGTTTTCAGAGAGTTCCCGAAGCTGTGACTTACGTCTTCAGCAAATCTCCAGACCAGAAGATGTTGGCAGGGAAGCATCTATAAAAATAATCCTGATTTTTTTGCTTGCTTATTGTCGCATTAGCTTTTGTAATTTAAAAAAAAAAAACTTACTTTTGAGTATATGTAAGCACATACTTGACTTTTAAATAATGTATGTTAAGATTTATTTAACTTCCCTCCTTGGACTTCCTTTTGCTTCTCTATAAAGGGAGGAAGATGCCGGCTACATCCTTGGGCGGGGCTGAGATTAAGAAGCACATGGAAAACTCTCAATAAATGGTAGTTTCTGATACCATTATCACTGACGTAAAATTACAGTAGCTCACCTAACAGTAAATATTTGTTTATACTTAAATAAGTATTTGTATTTCTGTTCCTTGTGCTAACAATGACCATGCGTGTGCAAGGTTAGGAATTGTGTCCCTTTCTTCCTATTTTAAAATATATGTAAGATAGATGTACATTATGTACATCTATGTGCATTATGTATTGTGTGCGTTATGTACATTGTATATTGAGCAAGGCCTCAACTACATAAATAGTGGAATATCAGTTTTATTGGTTGAATTCATAAATTTAATTGGTTTTTCAAATTTGTATCCACCTAGTGCATGATTAATGTGAGGAGTGACTCAAACATCAGTCCCAAAGATTGATAAGACCCAGCACCGTTTTAAATACACCTGCTTCCGTTAGGTTTCAGTTTCCTTAAGGTTTGCTTTTGTAAGTTTAGCTTTCTTTAGACAAAAATTTTCTTCTCTGCCAATCTGCTGTAACCTTCTAACCTGTTCTCCATCAATCCGCTGTAACCTCATGGACTCTACCTGACGGCCCTATCCACCAGTCCCTCACAGCCCATATCCCTGGTATCAACCCTCCAGTCCCTCCCAGCCCCATATTGTCAGTACCCACCCCCTTGCCAGAAAAGCATACTCCAGCATACATGCTCTCTGTGCCCTCTCTTCCCACTGCCACCTTCCTCTGTACCGAATAAAGACCTCCCATGTGACTCGTGGCATCTAGCATTTTGGGTTTGTGGTGAAAATTCCTAACAGTTAAAACCTTCCAGAGATTTTTCAGATCACAGATGTTAGGAATTTGTTTGTTTCCTTTTCTTAATTACATATGCCAGCTTTTAATGCCATTTTTACATTTTAAGTTACTGGAAATGTATGTTTGCTTTTAACCTATGATTTGTTATATGTAATTAATTGACTCTTTTTCTCCTCTTTAGGGAAGTGGTACAAGCAAACTGTGTTCGCTGGCGAAAGAAATTCTCATTTATGTGCAAAATGAGTGCAAGTGCCACCACAGGCATCCTAGATCCTTGTGTCTACAGAGTGTCTGTGAGGAAGGTAGGAAAATAGCTTATGACTTCTCTTCCAGAAATCACCACTTTATTTAGTTCTGTTTTATCTTTATTTTTAGAACTGTTATATAAAATTTAACTTCACACTTACAACAAAAATTAAAATAATAATGGCAGATATGCTAAAAAATAGAAATTAAAATATTATTCAAGGGGCCTAGCGCAATGGCTCAGTGGCTAAATCCTCACCTTGCATGTGCCAGGATCCTGTGAGATACCAGTTTATGTCCTGGATGCTCTACTTCCCATCCAGCCTCCTGCTTGTGGCCTGGGAAAACAGTAGAAGATGGTCCTAAGCCTTGGGACCAGCAGCTGCATGGGAGACCTGGAAGAAGCTCCTGGCTCCTGGCTTTGGACCAGCTCAGCTCTGGCCGTTATGGCACCTTAGGCAGTGAACCAGCATATGGAATATCTTTCTGTATATATACATCTCCTTTTCCCTGTGAATATGCCTTTCCAAGAAAAATAAATAAATCTTTAAATATATATTAATGCAAATATGTATATATATGTTTTTATATATGTATGTGTTACTCAAGGAACTTCCTCTCACTATCACTGAACTTAAACATATTAACATCATTTGTATCTGTTTGGGGACTCTATGACTGTATCCTTTCATGAATTAAATTTCTACTTTTGGTTAGACACAGTTCTGAATCCATGTATATTATGTCTAATAACAACCCTAACATTAGGTGCTACTTAAAAAACAACAACAACAACAAAAACACAAATAAATAGTCACGTTGGGACTCAAATACAAATCTTTAGATTGCAAGTCCTTGCTTTTTTTTTTTAAAGATTTATTTTATTTTTATTGGAAAGTCAGATATATAGAGAGGAAGAGAGACAGAGAGGAAGATCTTCCATCCACTGATTCACTCCCGAAGTGGCTGCAACAGTCCAAGCTGCACTTATCCAAAGCCAGGAGCCAGAAGCCTCTTCTAGGTCTCCCATGCAGGTGCACGGTCCCAAGGTTTTGGGCCATCCTTGACTGCTTTCTCAGACCACAAGCAGGGAGCTGGATGGGAAGTGGAGCTGCCAGGATTAGAACCGGTGCCCGTATGGGATCCCAGCACATTCAAGGTGAGGACTTTAGCCACTAGGCTACCTTGCTGTGCCCAAAGTATGCTGTTTTCCTTCCTCTCTACCTTGGCTGTTGCTGCTTCCCTTGAAACCATTGCTAAATGGAATTTTAATCATCATTTTGAAAGTCATTCTTTATATTTCAAAAATAATAATAATAAAATGTATTACTGGTTCAGAGGAAAGCATAACTGCAAAATAAAGTAAAAAATCTCCTTTTGATCATAACAAACAAGAACTAGTAGTTCTATTCAAGATGAAATGTATTCATTTGAAATAAACCAATTTCTCAAATTAAATGGCTTTGTATATTATTGGTTAGGGCATATATGATAACTGCTAAAACAGAGACCCAAATGGACAATGACTGAAGCAATATACATGTTAATGTCTCTCTAGAGTAACAGCAAAATGATCCAGGACTGTTGAATAGTCCTTCTTCTGCGATGGATATGGTAGCCATTATTCAAGAGACCTGCTCCAGTCTTACTATCTCCCAACCATTCAGACTGGAGAAATAGCCACATAAGAGCAAATGCATTCTTTTTTATGAGTCAAAAACGGTATATGACAGTTTTGCACGTATGTCATTAGTTAGAACTTAGCCACATGGCCACACCACGCTGGAAAGAACATAGTGAATGCCATCTTTGCTGGACGACTAATAGGTTCTAACATTAAAGAAAGAAAAAATGAGTATTGGTGAACCAATAGTGGTTTCTACTGTGCTTGACTAAAGAAGAATGTGCACTGATCTTACCCTGTCTCATCCTTTCTAAAGCACATTAAACATGAGAAGCCATTTTTTAATATAAATTAGCAAGCTCAACTATATATTTTCAGCCTCAACATATATATATCTATTTTTTTTTCTAAGCAAAATCATGTGCTTAGGGAAAATACCCACAAGTAATACCAAAATAACACCGAAAGACTAATTTCCGCAGTATAAAAAGAACGTCTTCAAAGAAATCAATACAAACATGAAAACCCTTTTAAAAAATAGGCAAGGTCTGTTTTCTGTGCTCTGTTCTCTGCCACTCTCTTTTGGACACACTGGCACACAGCAGGACTTCCAATTCCTGTGCTAGGAGAACCTTGCCATGCCTGGCATGGAGGCGTTGGACCAGGCCAAGGGAAAAAAGCAAGGAGCCTAGACGGTGATAAATCCTGTTTGAGAAAAGGCCTAAAAACTTTGGAATTGGACAGGACGTCCAGACCAAGAGGGACCTCATCCATTTTGTCAGATGATCCTGTTGCTTCTCACTGCAGAGGGCCTGCTTGCACAAGTGGATGAAGGTGACCCAGTTTATCCTGGTCCTGGATCGCCAGACAGCTACTGAGCTGCTGAAACTGACTTACAGATACAGGCCAGAGATGAAACAAGAGCAGATGCAGAGGCTTGTTGCCCCTGACCAAGAAGAAGGCTGCTAGCCAAAGGGACTGCCCCTCAGGAGACTGCCTTTCCTCTTAGCAGTCATCAGCACTGTCACTGCTTTGGTGGAGAATAGAAAGGCTCAGCTAATGATTGTAGTTGATGGGGATTCTGCCAGTTCGGTTTTCTTTTTGCTCACCCTGTATCAAAAGATGGGGGTCCCTTAATCGCAGCATCAGGTGAGACGCCAGGTCTACAGGAAAACCTTCAGCACACTCACCTTGATGTAAGTAAACTTGGAAGACAGAGGACCCTAGCTGGCTGGTGGAAGCGATCAGGACCAACTACAACAACAACATATGGATTCACCACCACTGGGGAGGCAAAAGTCTGGATCCCAATTCTATGGTCCTTATTGCCAAGCTAGAAAAAGCCAAGGCTAAAGAACTTGCCACAAAGCTGGAGTAAATGTGATTGAGTCCTTGTACATAATAAATTTTTTACTCTGAAAAAAAATAAAAGAAAGAAGAAAATAGACAAGGAACACAGAATATTACACAAAAAAGAAAGTATAAGTAGGGTCTGGCATAGTGGCCTAGCAGCTAATCATCGGTCTGTAGCACTGGCATTCCATATGGGCACTGGTTCAAGTCCCAGCTGCTCCACTTCCAATTCCTTGTTCCTTGATAATGGCCTGGGAAAGTAGTGGAGGATAGACCAAGTCCCTGGGGCCTTGCACCCACATGGGAGACCCCAAGGAAGCTGCTGGCACTTAGCTTCAGACCAGTCCAGCTCTGGCTTTTGAACCATGTGGGGAGTAAATCAGCATATGGACAATTTCGCTCTGTCTGTCCCCTTCCTCCCTGCCCCCCATAACTCTTACTTTCAAAGAAAATATGTAAGTCATTTTTTAACAAAAGCAGAAATAGCTTTTAAGCATATAAAAATAATCTCATGAATATGCATTAAAATTACAGAAGATAGCAATTTCTTTTACCTGTAAGTTTGACAAAGATCAAATGGTTTGATGTAATATTCTGTTACCAAGGACACAGGGAAATAGTCAACCAGTCAGTAAATATGTGAGTGCCTATGGTGTAAAATGCCAGACACCGGTCAGGCGTTGGGAGGACAGAAGGTAGCTGGAATGAGTTTCTGCGCTTAAGGACTTAAGGGTCTGGTTGAAGGTACTCGAGAGAAATATGCACTTCTCCTAGCTTCCAGTAGCCTCAGGCATCCTTTGACTTGCAGTTATACCACTCCAGTTACACAGCTGTCTTCTCTTTTTGAACTGTCGCATCATCTTCCCTCTGTTCACCTTTGTCTCTGTCCAGATTTCGCCTTTTCATAAGGACACCAATTGTGTTTGATTAGAATCTTATTTAACCTCTAAAGACCTATACACTGGAGGTTAGGACTTCAGCGTATAATTTGAGGGGAAGGAAGATACAATTCAATCCATAAGAAGCCTGAAGAGCGTAATAAAATCTGGATTTTTATTCTTCTGTGATTGAAGGACTAACTTATTGTGTACCACCCTCCTCTCTAAGAATAGTTTAAAAAGATAGACAAACTATCAGGAAAGCTACTTGAATGCAGAAGCCACCAAGGTCTTAAGGACCTGAGGGACCTAGAATCCATAAAGGTGCGCATAAAGAGATGAGCCTGGTATTTGGAATTGCTTTTTTCCTCAAAACAATCGTTGGCTTGTGAGGAATGGCTGAGTGGCAGTGAAGCTAAATTGAAATTACTGAATTAAAGATACAAATGTGGACCACCAAGGAAACGGGGTGTTGGCAGCAAATAGCACACACTTTTACTAGACACTCCATAGGAGTGTCTAGGAGGAATGTGGTTCATGTACAGCAACATATACCTAAACTGAACTCTAGCTTCCTGTCAGCTCAGTCACTTCTTGAGTGAGACTTACCTGCCTCAACCTCACTACCTGCCAGATACAAATAAATATATATCTTCTCTGTCAGAAACATCACTGTGAACCTCAAGTTTTGGCTCCAGTTTTCACACACAATTCCTACGAGACATGACTGCATGATCAAAAATCAAAAAGGAAAATAGATGATAAATCCAGACTCATGGAACAGATTTTAGAAAGATCAAAGATAAATTTTCACAATAACCCAGTTAGATTAATGAGCTGGAGGAAAATTTCATCAAAGAACTGGAATCTGAAGGAAAAAAAAATAAATTCTAGAACTGAAAAAAATACATTTCCTGAAATTTAAAATGGCAAGTGGGTGAAAAACCTTAACACATGAATTTACTAACAGGCTTACCACAACTGAAAGAACTTTGATAATTTGAAAAAAACAGATGGGAGAAAATACTAAGATTAAATCATGGAGAAAAAGAATGGAATGTACAGAAAAGAAGCGTAAGATATGTGGAAACACAGTATGAAGATCTAACTATGTAATTGGGGACCACAGAAGGAGAAAAGAGATTGTGGCTGAGATTCTTTCAAGGATGAAGTTCAAAAGTACTGTGATGTTTAAATGACCAATGACCAGCCCGACTACAGCATGGGAAACACAAAAAGTAGAAGCTGTTGGTGATGAGAGTGGACATCCCAGATCCAGTCAGGTTTTGAAAGCCTTGGTAAAGAGTTCATGTGTTATTCTAAGTATAAATGAGAGTCCATTGTACAAAGAACTGTGGAGGCCAACCACTTGCATGGTTAAAGTTTGGGAGGAGAAATTCTTAAGTTTTGGCATGGAATTCTAACACACAAAAGGGCATTGTTTTGGACATCCAATGCCCTGAGGAGTCTGTTTCTGTAGAGAGAGCAAAATGAGTAATTAGAGTTCAACTAGCATTCGTGTCTCCAGATGTTGAATAAAGGAGTAGACCCAGCAAAGGAGGGAAATGAGCAAGATGAGCAGCTTGCTAGGTAGGAATAAAACCAGGCAGTTGTGGCCCCAAAAGGTTAGAGAATGAAGTAATATCTTCCTTTTCTTAAAGCCAAAGGCTGTCTCCTTCCTACTGACTTCTCTGCAGCATTTGACAGAAAGAAGTGGAACAGCCAAAAGACCGTACTCTGTCCATGTGTTATGGTGCCACACAGGCTTAGGATTAGCCAGCTATGTTACCGTACTGGCTAAATTCACTATTCCTTTTTTAAGATTTACTTTTTTTATTGGAAAGTCAGATTTACAGAGAAAAGGAGAGACATCCAATGGTTCACTCCCCAGGTGGCTGCAACAGCGGAGCTGAGCCAATCTGAAGCCAGGAGCTAGGAGCTTCTTCCAGGTCTCCCACGTGGTTGCAAGGTCCCAAGTCTTTGGGCCGTCCTCCACTGGTTTCCTAGGCCACACGCAGGGAATTGGATGGGAATGAAGTTACCAGGACACAAACCAGCACCCATATGGGATCCTGGCATGTGCAAGGCAAGGACTTTAGCCACTAGGCTACCTCGCTGGGCCCATAAATTCACTATTCTAAAGATGGAAGTTGTAAGTAAAACACCTATCTGATTATGGGAAAAAGACAACTCCAGGCGTATTTTTAAAAGTGAGAAGAGTGAGTAGGGGGTTGGGATGCAGGACATTAAGCCATGGTTTGGGATGCCCACATCCCGTATCTGAGTACTTGGGATCAAGTCATGCCTCCATTTCCCATCATGTTCCTGCTAATTTGCCTGGAAGCAGCAAGTATGACGCAAGCACCTGACCGTCACTCCAGTGGAGAACTGAGTGGACTCCTGGCTTCCAGTGTCAGCAAGATCCAATCCTGGCTGTTGCAGCCATTTGGAGGAAAACCAGTAGATGGAAGATCTGTCTCTGTGTCTGCCTCTCTTGCCCTGCCTTTCAAATGAACAAAATAAATAAATAGACGTTTTTGCAAAGTTGGTGCAGGGAAGGAAATTTGACTCTAATAATAACACCAAACACACACTGAATGCCTGTGCTGAGCATTCTGAATGTTTTGTGCTTTGTTGTCTGTGAAGTTCTAAATCCAGAACTGGCCAACTAGTGCAAAGTTGTGCAAAATTTAAATTCAACATTAAAGTCATCTGTTACTATTTTTTCACTGTTGCCAGTCTTGTGCGCAATGAATAAGAGAGTTTATACTATACTCCTTGAGTGCTTGTATATGCGTAAAATATCTTGGGTATGATTGGTAAGAACTGATAAATGGGAGATGTTTCAGCTGTTGCCAAAACCCTTCTGTAGTGTGTTAGTGCACTTTACCAAGCAAGGAAGAAATCTGGTGACTCAGGTCATTGTAATAATCCCAAGATACTTTTTAGTGATTTCTTCTTCAGCAAATAAATAAGGTATTAGCTTGTCTTCTCATTGCTTCTGTTAGATTTAAATTACACATCACAAGAATTTCTGGTTATTTGGAGGCTATTGGGAAGTCCAAAGAGAGGGATTTAGGATCATCAGAATTTTACTGGCTTTGAAACTTGCCACTGTGTTCATGTCAGCTTTAGAATTAGTTGATACATTTAATTTTAAACCTTTAAATGATGTCCTTACACCGTTTTCTTTCTTTGGCAGGAATTAAAAGGTGGAAAAGCATATGCAAAGGTAAGTGGCCTGATTCTTTTGGAACTTGTTGTATCACTGACTGTTACTTATAGACTTAAAAATAGAATAATTTACACTTCTAGTTGTTGTTAAATCTTTTAAATACAACAGCGTGAAATCTGAACAGTTTGAATTCAGTAAATGATAGGTATAGTCACAGTAACCCTAAAGAACCTGAGCTCTGGTTTACATCACTTGGCAGGCACTGATCGTTTAAACAGTCCCTCTTGGGGAGAATCCCAGTCTGCCTCTCCCTGATCTAGAAGGACCCTTCTGTGCTCTTAGTACTGTGTTATCTTTTGCTACTTTTACTGGCTATGTGAACTTACTAATAAATATCCTCACCTTTGCAGAGAAGGATTTCATAAGAGTACAGAAAGAGCATTCTTGACCTGAAAAGCAAAAATCCAAAATGTCCAAAATCTATGTATGTTAAAAAGCATATAGCCCATTGTGTCCAGGCAGTGTCTCATGCAGTTAGCAGCCAAGCCCAACCCTGCTTTGCATTTTCTTTTTTAAGCCTTGACTTGTTTGTTTTACTTTTTAATATAAACAGAACAGATTTCATGTATGATACAGTTCTAAAAAGATAACTGTTTTTACCTCTGTCAGTCCCTCTCCTTCCTTTCTTTTTTTAAAAAAAAATTAATTCTTACAAGGACAAATTTTTAATCCACTCCATAAACATAGGCTTAATTCACCACTAACCATAATATTCAACAAGTGGAAAGTAGGAAGACCACAGTTCCACAGGAATATGAACAAGGGCTAAAATTGATAATCTTATCACAAGATGTCCAAGTCATTCCTATACAATTTATGCTATTCTACATTAACTGCCACATACCAGAGAAGATATATGGCATTTGTCTGAGACTAGACTATTTCACTAAGCATAATGGTTTGCAGTTGGAAGCATAATGGTTTTATTGGAAAATACAGAATTTCATCCTTATCACTGATTAGTATTCCATGGTGTACAAAATTTTTTTTATTCAGTTTTTTGTTGGTGGGCATCTGAGTTGATCCCATATCTTAGATATTGGGATTTGAACCACCGTAAATGTGGGAGTACAGATAATTATCTCATATGCTGATTTTAATTCATTTGGATATTCCCAGGAGTGGGATGGTTGGGTCATATGGTAGATCTATTTTCAGATCTCTGAGAAATCTCCATGCTGTCTTCCATAGCGATTACACTAATTTTCATTCTCACCAACAAAGGATGAGGCTATCTATTATTTTCTTTTTTTTTATATCTATTATTTTCTGATTCTTGTATGTTAGTTATTCTAACTGTGGTGAAGTAAAACCTCACTGTGGTTTTCATTTGCATTTCCCTGTTGGTTAGTGAACCTGATTATTTCTTTATGGCTGTTGGCCATTTGTATTCCCTCTTTTGAAAATTGCCTATCCATGTCCTTTGCCTATTGCCTATCTGAGCTGTTTTGTTGTTGAGTTTCTTGAGTTCATTAGATCCTGATTGTTATCCTTTATCGCTTGCACGGTTTGCAAATGTTTTCTCCACTCTGTTGGTTGCCTCATCAATTTGTTGAATATTTCTTTGGCAGTGCAGAAGCTTCTTTGCTTAATGTAATCCCACTTATTCATTTTTGCTTTTATTAGCTGTGCTTCTTTTCCAATAACTCTTTTCTGACGCCAGTGTCTTGCAGAGTATCCCTAGTGTTTTCCTCTAGTAACTGGATGGTATCAGGTCGTAAATTTAAATCATTGCTCCACTATGAGCTGATTGTTGAATACGGTGTAAGGTAGAGGTCTTGTTTCATACTTCTGCATGCATAGATCCAATTTTCCCAACAACATTTGTTGAAGAAACCTTTTTCTAAGGACTGATTTTTGCCTTGTCAAAGATTAGTTATAGAGGCAGGTTATTTCTGGGCTTTCTATTCTTTTTCTATAATGTATACATGTCTATTTTTATGCCAGTATCAGGCTATTTTGATTATAACTGTCCTGTAGTATGTCTTGAAATGTGATACTGTGATGCCTCCAGCATTGCTTTTGTTATGTAACATTGCCGTAACAGAGTCTGACGCAGTGGCCTAGCAGGTGGATCCTCGACTTGCATCTGCCAGGATCCTGTGTGGGCACCAGTTCATGTCCTGGTGGCTATACTTACCGTCGCTCCCTGCTTGTGGCCTGGGGTTGGGGGCAAGGCAGTGGAGGATGACCCAGGGACTTGGGAGACCGTGGGAGAGGCTGCTGGCTCCGGAGAGACTCATCTCCAGCCCTTGGGCCACTTGGATCTTTCTGTATCTTCTTCTGTCTGTGTGTCTGCCTTTCTAATTTAAAAAATATATATGTATGTCTTTTTTTTTAATTGTTGGACCTGGCACAGTAGCCTAGAGGCTAACATCCTCGCCTTACATGCTCCAGGGTCCCAAATGGGTTCCTGTCCCAACGGCCCTACTTCCCATCCAGTTTCCTGCTTGTGGCCTGGGAAAGCAGTCAAGCCCAGCCCAAAGCCTTGGGATCCTGCACCTGCATGGGAGACCCAGAAGAAGTTCCTGACTCCCAATCGGTTCAGCTCTGGCCATTGCGGCCACTTGGGGAGTGAATCATTGGATGGAAGATCTTTGTCTCTCCTCCTCTGTGTATATCTGACTTTCCGATAAAAAAACAAACATGACCCATGCTATAGCCTAGTGGCTGGGGTCCTCACCTTGAGTTCGTCAGGATCCAATGTGGGTGCCAATTCTAATACCAGCAGCCCTACTTCCCATTCAGCTCCCTTCTTGTGGCTTGGGAAAGGAGTTGAGGATGGTCCAAAGCCTTGGGACCCTGCACCTGCTTGGGAGACCTAGAAGAAGCTCCGGGCTCCTGGCTTCAGATCAGCTCAGCTCCAGCCATTGCAACCACTTGAGGAGTCAATCAATGGACAATTTTTCTGTCTCTCCTCCTCTCTGTATATCTGACTTTCCAATAAACATAAAATAAGTCTTGAAAAAAATTTTTAAATTGTTTTAGCAAACCAAGACTCATCATTTTTTCTAGATCTGAAAATGTCCTTGAAATGTTGATTGGGATTGCATTAAGTTTGTAAATTGCTCCAGGTAGTAAGAATATTTGATTTTATAAATTCTACTAATCCACAGACATGGTCAATTTTTCTACTTTCTTGTGTTCTCTTTCTGTATTTTGTAATTTTCATTGTAAAGATCTTTTATATCCTTGGTTAAATTGAATGTGGAAAATTTCAATAATTTCTTGCCTTCTGAGAACAGATGAGATCAGGCACATTCAGGCTGTTATGGCTGTGGACCAGTATCCAAAACTTTTTGAGTGCTGAGAGTATACCATAAACAGAAAATTCTCATTATGGGTTTCATTCAAATTACAGGCGTAAAAAGGGGGCACTTGGCCTTCCAGTTAATATGCTGGTTGGAATGCCCACAGTCCCTATTGGCATGCCTGCATTTAGTTCATAGACTCAGCCCCTGATGCCATCTTCCTCCTGGTGTGGACCCCAGGGAGAAAAGTTGGGGCAAGCAGCAGGCGTGGCTTGTATAGTTGACTGTTTGGGAGAGCTGGGTGGAGTTCCTTGCTCACAGCTTCAGACCAGCCCAGTCCCAGTCATTGCTTGCATTCGCAGGAGAATCTGGCAGGCGGAACATGCAATGTACATGCACATGCTCACTTGCTCTCTTCCTCTTAACCTTACCCTTCCCTCCCTCCATTTTGTCTTTCCTGTCATTTTCATTCTCTCTCAACCTCTCAAATATGTTTCTTTCTTTCTTTCTTCTCTTTTCTTTCTTAATTAATTAGTTAATTAATTAATTAAAATAGGGAGCCAGCATTGTGGCCCTGAGGGTTAACTCTGAAATTCGTTATGAGCATCAGTTGTAGTCCTAGCAGCTCCATTTCTCATCCAGCTCCCTGTTCATGTGCCAGGGAAAAGAGCAAAAAAATGGCCTCAGTGCTTGGACCCCTCTCACCAGTGTAGAAGACCAGGATGGGGTTCCAGACTCCTAGTTCCAGCTTGGCTGAAACCCGGCTGTTGTAGACATTTGAGAGGTCATCTTATGAACAGAAGAACTCTTTCTCTCTTTGTCTCATTGCTTTTCAAGTACAATAAAAAATAAGTAAATAAAAAAAGTTTGTTTAAAACCACAATTACACAACGCTGTGTACTCAGCACCCTTTTAGCCTTCTTCAGCTATAGTATAACTTTTCACTGCTGCCCAGATGCCTCCATGCAGGTATTCAGAGAAAAGAGTAACAAAATGGCACATGTACAGGCTGGCAGTGGCAGATGCCCCCTTGTGCCTTGCCTGAGACCCAGGCCTACATGCTTTATTCACTGTGTTTTGTTTTTTGCTTATTCTCTGTTCTGTGATCCAAACATATTGCTGAAAATATCAAAAGGACCTGTTGATATCCCTACGTGTAAAAAAAACACTGGTTAAAAAAGAGAGAAAGAGTTTATCTGTAGCACAAATCAAGCTGTTGGGGAAACTGTACAGTGACGTAACAGTGACGCATCTTGTGGCAGAAAGCCATTCCTCTACTTGCAGCGTCAGAAAGGTTCAAATCCTAACTGCTCCATTCCAGTCTAAGTCCCTACTAAAGGCCTGAGAAAGCAGCCGGGGAGGGTGGGGGGGCCTGCACCCATGTGGGAGATGAGGAAGCAGCTCCTGGCTCCTGCCTTCAAATCAGCTCAGCTCTTGTTACTGCAGCCATTTGGAGAGTGAACCAGGGAATGAAAGATTTTTTTCTTCCTCTCCCTCCCCTCTGCTTTCCCTCTCCTTTCCCTCTCCTTCCCCTCCTCTTCTCCTTCTATGTAACTCTGCCTTTCCAATAAAAATAGATAAATCTTTTTTAAAAAGAAGAATGAAACATCTTATAGAAGAGTATCGTGTGGAAATCACTACCATGTATGATCAAAAGAAACAGGAAAAACTGCTGATGAAGTTTTATGCTGAAGTTGATGAGTAGGAGTAGATTTAAAAAAAAACTATAAAGCTAAAAATTAAGAT